GGCCGAGTTCTCCCCGTGAAAAAAAAAAAAAAAAAAAAAAAAAAAGAAATGAATAAAAATAAAAATAACGTGTCTCTCAAAATATAGTTCATTTCATACCAATGAATCAACTATTTAGAACATTAAAAATAACTTATATCCCATTCATATATACATTTTCACAGTTTAATGTATCACTAAAAATAAATTAAATTAATAATAAACACAAAAAATCTCTAAAACCAACCAAACTTTAAGATGGTTAGATCTCTCTTAAGCATACTCTCAACTCATTAAGAAAAAGTTTTCCTTTCTCTACTTTTTATTCTTTTACTCCACATTTGAAAGGCTCCTTTTGAGTCACCTTCTAATTTTTCTTTGGCTGTCTTAATGTGTTAATAACAAGTGCAAATCAGTCCATATTGGAATTAATAATGAGCATCTTGAAATATGAACTGCTATCTCAGAGAGTTTTAAACAACCCTTCCTGAATTATTTTTTTCAACTGCCATCCCCCATTTAAAAGTAGCTCTCAGGAATAGACCCAGTTACAACTAAAAGGCAAAGACAGATATGTCCTGATGTACAACAACAGACAAGCAATAAGTAGTGAAGATGAAATTCTTAGATATACAGTGGAGAAGTCATGACTCCCAAGTAAAGCTAACAGAAATAAGGAGGAGATAAGCTCATGGACTTTTATAGAACCTGTTGTGGTGGTGGTGAGAGTGAAAAATAACCTCTGTATGGAGGATTTTATAACCTACCCATAGAAAACAGACACCAATATCACTAACTTCTCTGTATCAATATACTAGACAGATTAATAGACTAAGTTTTATCCTCTTTAGCTCTGTGATCTTGAGCTTGGACTGTTCTGGGAAAGTCTAACTTCTTCAAACCCAGTGACAGTGACACATTACAGAACTGAGAGGAAATGGTCACAAAATAAAGCACACATAGGACATACACTATCCATTATATAATTTTCAGGCTTGAAATCTACTCTCCATCCCATCATGAAAGAAACAGTGCTTGCTATTAATTGCGGATAGTGTAATCTGCTGAAATAGCTGAACTTCTGAAAAAATCAAATTAATTTTCATGGGATAATATGTAAATGAAAATAATAAAATCTAATTTTTGCTAAACTAGATATAACCTTACACTGGAAGTCAAAGCTTTTAAGAAGAAAAAAGTGATGGGGCAAAAAAGGAATTTAAATATGGTAAAAATTACAATCCATTAGTACTATTTAGCTAATTGGGAAAAGACTCTTAAATTTTAGAGGCAAAAAACACTTATTTCAGCCCAAGAAACAAAAGCATTCTTTGGAATCACAGTTTATAAGCCACTGGAGGCTAAACCCAAATTTAAAAAAAAAAGGAGTATTAGGTGCTTTAAAGCATAAAGTCCTATATAACCTCAAGATGTTTTTCCACGCAGTTAAATATTTGCAGTAGGACATAGATGGGGGGAGGCAATGATATTAAGATGAGAAGTTATGGTGCCCACTCTTGGTTTCTTTGTAAAAGGGCGAAATGTAGGCAAAAGGAGCATTTTTGTTACATTTCAGTACAACATAAAGGTAAGTAAATAGTACAAATAGGTAATGCAGAGGTAATGTGAGAATCAACATGGAAAAACATCCACACTTTTGACTGTATCATTTTACTTAGCCAGATATAGTGAACTCCAAGGGAAGCCAAAGAGCTACTTGGCACAGGAGAACAGTGTCTGAATGGGAATGTAGCTGCTGGTGACTGTATCCTCACAAGAGTGGGTCTTATAACATGAAGCTCCATTCCTTCTATACTACCATCCATGTTTGCTGAGGGCTAAGACCACACTCCAGGAAAACTTAACACACTCACTCACTAAGCATGCCTTAGGTTCATTAAGTCCGCCCAGGCTTTGAGGCACACCCTCAGGAAGAAGAGTTAGCTCCTGAGTGTCCAGGAACTACAGTGCATCCGCCAGTTCTCAAGTAATCATCACTTTAATGATGGCAAAATTGGTATTCAAAGTGGTAGTTACTCATGCTTTGTCCACTCTAAATGTCACATGGCAGCTCAAAGAATGGTAGCCTAATCCAGTTTGAGGAAATAATGTTTAAAGACAGCAATTAATTTTTTCCATCATTGCCATCATAGCTAATTTATTTTCCTAACATTTATTAGCATATGTTTGCAATATAAAATGATTACATTCATTGTGGAGAATTGGTACAATTACATAACACATCTCAATTTTTTAGCTTTTCTTCAGCAATCAAAGGTTCAAATAAGTACATCTATGGGTCATGCAAGATATAAAGGCGAACAGAAATATGAGATGTTTCCATCTCTGTTACATGCAGACATATACACACACAACTGGGTTATTTCTTTTCCTACATTTGAAGGATGTTTGGGTGTACCTGGCTTAATGGACACATGATGTTGTTTAATATTTAGTGTGGGGGCTTTGAAGGACAGGCTGTCATGGAGATTGAAACTAAAGTGCTGAAGAATCATTACATATGATGATGCTGGTGGCAGAAAAAATAAACAATGGTTTTAAACACAAGCCCCACCTCAAAAGTCACAAAAGATACACAGTGTAAACCGTACAGTGAGCAGGAAAGAGGTTTATTTATTTAAAGATGGTTAATGATCCTTCTGAACAAAACTAGAAGGTCAGATTTTCATCCCAGTATCAGTACCATTTAATTGCAGGATGATCACAGGAAAAGCACTGATGTGACATTCTCTAAAAATTAGGAGCTTCTGGTGCAGAGAGGCTGGAAGGGCAGTATCAAGATGGTGGATATGTGTCTGCGTCACAGGCAGAAATGGAGAGAGAAGCTTGCGGAGGATATGGGAGATTTAACAAATGACTAACAACATGCCAACAAGAAGGAGCATAAGACAGACATCAGAAATTCTTCTTACACTTCTTGCCG